CACCCCCCCCCCGCACGTCTAAGAACCCGATTTAGTGCTGATTTAAGACATCAACAGCAAGCAGAAGGGATGGAAAGGCAGCAGAACGGCCAAGTGAGATTCCGCATGAAAATGGGGCAAGTGCAGGTTTGCTGTGGCGGCTCCTCCCGCTGCACGGCCCACAGGGAAGCCCTGACAGATGAAAAACTTGGACGAGGTAATTAAGAGACTAATAGGCCATAATTAGCATCTTCAGAGCTGCACGAATGACACGACCTTCGAGCGTGGGCGGCGCGGCACAGATTTTCCTAGGGTCTGAGAAAGCACCAGCCCCGTCAGCGGCAGCACCAGGTCTCCTCCAGGTTCCTGTCCGCTCACCAGACACTCGCTGCCGCTCGCTCGCCCGGCTGAAGCGGCCTAGGAGACACGCAGATGAGCCACCGCGCAAACCCGAGTCACACCCCGGACTGAAACTCACACCAGACCAGAGATTATTCCTGGCCTCGTCTGGGGCTGATACAAGCCGGGAGGTGGCAGGAGGGAGAGCACCAGGGGAAGAGAAGCAGTTTGTTTCGCGGCGGGTGCAAGTCGACATTCGCGCTGACGGTTCTCGAGCGATCCCTGTGCCTTTGGGGGAGCTCGCTGCTTCTCCTCAGGCAGAGTGTGGGCTGCTGCTCTGCCGCTCCACACACCTACTTCCTGCAATCCTGGCAATTACCAATAGTGTAAACCCCAGTTTCTGACGTGGCTGACTCAGCAAGGGCTTGGCTCCAAACAAATACATCCGCACAAGGAACTGTAGCCTGGGAAGCAGTGACAGGAGGCACACGAAGAGAAGGCGGCATCGTGGATTTCTAGCGTTCCGGATCCAAGCTGGCTGAATCGTTCCCTGACTTGCTTCTCCCAGCGTCCCAGCACACCCGTGAATGTGGTAGTCCCAGTTCTCCAAGTGCTCCAGCAGCTTCTCTTCTCCGCCCGCTGGACTCGGGTGTTGCTCCGGCACAGCGTAAGTCTACTTTGCATCCTATTTTCCTAACATTTGTCTTTTCCATCTTCATTTTGTTGCTTTTTTACATTTCCATTCGACTATTTCCTTGGTTTCCTTCAGTGCGACTGAGTCACCGTCTCCCTAACCACCCACTGAGATTTTTATACTGTGCCCCTCACCGGGAAGGTGGCTGGTTACCATGGTACCCAAGTGCCCTTCTGTTCTAGATGCTAGATGAAATCTGTTCTCATGGTGACTGTGTGCCTTGGCTGTTCTTCACCAGCTCCTTTCTGCAGCAGATTTAATAAGCTCAGACACCGCCATTCCTTCTCTACTGAAGACGGAGACTCCTTAATATCCAAGACGGGACAAGTGCTCCCTAAACACAGGGACGTAGTGTGAAGTTTGCATTTCCTGCAATACCTGCCTCTCTGTTTTCCTTCCAGCTACAGGAACGGGGAAGGAAGAGGTTGTTCCTGTTGTGTGGCTTGCTGCTGATCCTGCGATTTAAGTCCGACACCTGACTGAGAAGAGTCAGCAGTTTCCTCCTCCTCGTTGCCTTGCAGCAGCATGGATACGTGGCGGAGAGGATCCATTAAGTCCACCACGTTCTTCAGACGTTTCTCACTCAGGAGACACAAAAAGCTGGGCAACCAGGTCATCATCTTGAACCAGAACAGCCACACTCTGGACAGCGATGGACAATGCCAGAAGAGGGAATGCTTGAGGGATCTGAAGGACAAGTCTGATTACCTGTCATGTCAGAGTGAGCAAAACCTAGCCAAGGCACAAGCACCTCCCAAGCCCCCCCGGCTGTACCTGGACAGTTCCAGCTGCCCTAACATCATTGATCACACAGATTCTCATTCCGACATCTCCTTTTCCGGTGCTGCTCATCAATACCACAAAGCCACTCAGACTCAGTTCCACAAGGATCAGGCTACAGACTGCGGGACCACAGAGACGGGTTCCCAGAACGGCACCACTCTTCCCGACCTGTCCGATCCCTTCCTGTCCTTCAAAGTGGATTTGGGGCTATCGCTTCTCGAGGATGTTCTGCAGACCCTCAGGAAACAGAATCCGAGAGATTACGCCATTTGAAGGTATTTATCACCTAATGTACCACATGTACTTACTGCTGCTGCCAGTGTCTGTAATCCTAGCAGGGGGATACTGCAGCATTCCTGTTGTGTGTGGCCCGTTTCGTCATCCTGCCTCACCCTCTGCAGACTGTCCCTGTCCTTGCCAAGGAGCAGAGCTCACAGGCTCCGTGCTCCGATGACAGCACTGGCTGCTGGAACCCCGGGGGCAAGTTTCCATTCTCCACACTGGGAATTTCGCACTCTTGACTGTGCGTCTCCCCCTCACGGAAGAACGGCATCGTTGGGCGAAAGACTTGTTATTTTGGGGCCGTGGCTGCGTCGCTGCGGAGCACGGACAGAAAGGGATATGGCGTACATCACTGGCGGATAAGCAGGCAGCTTGCAAGGGGACAGTAGCAGTGCATCTCAAAGCCATAGCTACGGCAAGGGTTAAGAGACAGAAACCGGTGTTTCTTCTCCCACCACGTCTGGATGTGAAAAATCAAAGCTGTTCCTCCTTTTATTTTTTTTCCCTTGTGGGTTTCTTCCCCTGAACTCAAGCGCAGTTGGCACCCCCAGCCTGCAAACAGGTAAGCACCCACGCAGGCTCGTAACGCATCAACAGCGGTTTATTTGCCCCACCAGCTGGGCAAGAAATTTCTCTAGGTACTGCTGCCGGAAGCATGCACCCATCTGTCAGCTGTACAGACATGAAGAATAAACGTATCTGTGACCGGAAGCGTCTTGTTGCCTCATTTCATTGGTAGCAAGAGCACAGGTCCCTTGTCGCAGTGACCAACACCTGGCCTCTCTGGCCCTTCAGGTTTTCTGAGAGGGGGGGGAAGCAGAGTGGCTCTGGCTGGCCAGAGCGGCGGGTGCTTTGTCCTCCCGAGAGCGCATGCAGCGTGGGTCAAGACCCGGCGTGGAGACAACCGCTCGTCACACCACGGGCTGGACGGCGGGAAGGGCTCCGTGCCCCGCTGAGCAGTATCGGG